TTTTATTAAAATATGATTGACAGAATACAGACAATTCTCCCGCATCAAGCAACAGCCCAGGTTTCTGAGGAGGTCGAGGGTGGGGAGGGAGGGACAGTGTGGTTCTGTCATATAGCCAGCTGGAGGCCAGAGCTCTGAACAGTGGGAAGCATGCCTGCATCCGAGCGCGAAGAAACTAGCTCCTAGGGGCTTACCAAGTACAAAAGTTTATCATTTTACAGCAGTTGAAATACTGACATCAATATTAAAATAAAAGCAAGTTTTACATAACAATCAAAAATACAAAAGACTGAAGGAAGAGACCCTGTATGAAAAACTGGGGCAATTCAGCGAATTGAGACCGTATATGCCAGTGGCGGAAATGGAAAATGGCGCCCGCTCAACCCTCCCAGGCGACTAGTAACTGTACGCAGTGACTTAGATCTGCAAAAGGTTGTAAACAAGTTCTTGCCAAGCCAATCCCTTCCTCGTCATGGAGCCACAGGGCCGCTGCTTATGAGGGGGCAAACTTCTTCGCTTGTGCTCGAACCCTTTTCTCATATTCCACTCTGTTTTGGCAGTAAATTGTGTAGGCCTCTGCTTGAGCTGGGTCTTGGATATTTGGTTCATTTAGAAGTTCTTGTATTCCTAATAAGATCTGCTTGATCGTGATAGCTGGCCTCCAGTCCTTGTCCTCCTCCAAGATGGACAGGCACACTGTGCCAGAAGGATACACGTTTGGGTGAAACAGTGGTGGCTCAAATTTACATTTTGGTGGTGAGGACGGATAGTCATCTTTGAAAAGCATCCGCAGTTTGAACAAGCCTCCTTCCCATGGAGTCCCCTTCTTTCCAGGGATAGCGCACTCCCAATTCATCAGGTTCATCGTGCCATCAGGGTTCTTTGTTGGGACAGCCACAAAGCCAAAAGGGTGGTCCTTCCTCCAAGCTTTCCTTTCCTGGGCAAGTCGGCTGAGGGCAATCCCCGACATATTCAAAGTCCCTGGGCGACCGCGGCCCGGACCGTCGCGGCGGTAGAGGCGGCGGTGCTCCTTTGTCTCGGGACTTCCCTTTCTTTTAATTTATAACTATCTGTACTCTGTCTCTTTAAAGACATTACCCCTTTTTAAAGCATTAACTTTATTTTATGACTCTGTATACTCTTTTCTCTCACAAGCCTACGTACATTTATACAACATTGTGACCCATTTAGAGGTGACTTATGTCTGTGTCTGTCCTATTGCATTGTCTGTAATTCTCCACTGTCTTGAAGAGCTTTTAAAATGCTAAGCAGCTTGGTTGCGGCTGCTCTGGATGTTGGCTCCACCTCTCTCCAATTTTAAAATGGTGGACACACCACCAGTGCTAGCTCTGGGGCCACCAGGCAGGAGCCGTGCTCAGCAGTCCAACCCCAAGAATGAGCGTGCGAAACATAAACACTTTTTTCTGAGTTACAGCCAAATCTGCCATGCAGAGCACTGCGCAGCCTGGAAACATCTCTAAGTATGGCGGTGGGAATCAGTCATGCTCTCCCTCCTGCTCAAGCTTAGTAGACCTGATCCCAGGCAGGAAGAGCCAAACCACAGGTGGTGCGGGAGAATTATCTGTATTCTGTCAATCATATTTTAATAAAACACTGATTGGCCAGGCAGGCAGTATAGGCGGGAAAGCCAGACAGGAAGTAGGGGTGGAGCAAAGAGACTGGGAGTATTCTGGAAGCAGAAGCTCTCTCTCAGCCACTCCTGCGCAGACCACCAAAGAGGCAGCATGTAACTTGCCCAGCTGAGAAAAGGTACGGAGCCATTATGGCTAACATGGATGAGAATAATGGGTTAATATAAGTTATAAGAGTTAACAGGAAGCCTGACCTAATGAGCCAATCAGTTTATAACCTTATGGAGTCCTGTGTGTGATTTTCTCTTTGGAATTTGCCAGCTGTGGGGTACCAGGTGGGATGGAAACCCCAACAAGCTGGCCCTCATGTTACACACAGGCATGGTCTCACCTACTTTCTTCTTGACCCCGAGTGAGCACACAAACACTCGGGCCGACAGATGCTCCCTAGCCGGAGTTTGCACTGACGGCAGGGCCCAGGAAGCCTCGTTTTAAAATGGCGCAGCCTTTTTTCTGCTGCTATTTCTGAGTCAGGAAAATCTTTCTGCAGCACCCTGCCAGCAAACAGCAAAAAGTTATGTTAAACTCTATATTTGTGTCTGGAATTCCCTTTAAAGCCCTCTCAGGTTTTACATGGAGTCAGTTTACCACGTTGGAGTTGAGAGTGGGTCCTTGTTCCATCCTGGCTGCCCAGCTAGCTTACACCTGAAATAACTACACAGAAATTGTATTAATTACATCCCTGCCTGGCCCATTATCTCTAGCCTCTTATTGGCTAACTCTCACATCTTGATTTAACCCATTTCTAATAATCTGTATATCACTACAAGGTCATGGCTTACTAGGAAAGATTCAGCACATCTGTCTCTGGCGCTACATGGTATCTCTCCCTTACTCTGCTTCCTTCCTCCCAGAATTCTGTTCTGTCTTCTCCACCTACATAAGTTCTGTCCTATCAGGCCAAGAAATTTCTTTATTGATTAACCAATGAAAGCAACACATAAACAGAAGGACCTCCTACATCACACAAGAACTGGCCAAAGAGTCAGAGACACCCAAACTTCTACAGTTTGTAATTACACAAACACCCAAAGCTAAACAATCATAGCATGCATGTACAGGGCCTGGAACAAACCCAGCCAGTATCCATGATTTCCACTTAAGTTCTGAGCCCCTATGAGACCTGTTTAGTCGATTCTGTGGGTAAGAGTTCTCCTGGGTTCCTCAAACTCTCCAGATTCTGCAATTCTTATCCCTTCCTTCCACAGGCTTCCTAGAGTTTAAGCTAATGTTTGGTTAGGAAATTCTGTGTGTGCAACCATCAGCTGCTGGAAGAAGCCTCTCTGACAATTGTGCTGGGAATCAGTCTATGATTATAGATTTAAATAATTTCATAGATTTTTTTCCTGCTCAGTTATATTTGGTTCTACCCTAATTCTGAAAGCCAACAATTTCTGGTTCCTGGTCATTCAGGAAGTATCAGACATTGGCTTCCTCTCACAGCTTGGAGTAAAAGTTAGACCAGTTATTAGTTGTCACTTCAGAAATTCTGAGGCACCTTTGCCCCAGCATATCTTGCAAGCAGGACAAATGTGGTTCTAATGTTTAGTGGCTGATTTGATGTCCCAATCCTACCACTGGGAGCCTTATGTGGTTACAGAAGATGGCTGGTTCAGCCTCTGTATTCCTCATTACTAGGAGTCCTCCATAGTGCCTTCCTTATAGGTTCCAGGAAGTTTGCACTGCACTGTTTTTACATCTCCTGCAAAATGCTCCCCAATTCCTGTCATCTCTCCCCCCTGTTCTCCATCTTTATCCCTTCCTTACTCATTTGATCCTTCCTGTTCCCATCCCCACCTGTCTTCAGTGTACAAAGTCTATTCTATTTCTTCTTTCCAGAGAGATCCATGCAGCTCCCCTTGTTATTCTTGTTACTTAACTTCTCAGCATCTATGGATTTTACTATCATTAACTATGATTACTGTTGTTGTACTTTACTTAACTGCTAATATCCACTTAGGAGTGAGTATACTATATTGGTCTATATGCTTCTGGGTTGCCTCATTGATTATAGTAATGAACTCATAAAACTAGACAACAACCAAATATTCCAAATATAATGGGGTACACCTCTAAACAGAATTCTCAGTAGAGGAATCTAAAATGGCTGAAAAGCGTGTGAAGAAATATTCAACCTGACAGAATGGATAAGATCCATAATACAAGTGACAGTTAATGCTGCTAAGGACACAGGACAAGGAGACTCATTGCTATTGTAAGTGCAAACTTGTACAGTCACTGTGGAAATCAATATGTAATTCTCATGAAATTGGGAGACAATCTATCTCAAGACCCAGCTGTACCACTCTTGGGCCACTCAATTCTTGTACCACTTTTGAGGGCCTGCCATTCAATTCTCAAATAAATCTCACACACAGAGGCTTATTTTTTCTTATACATGCCTGATCTTGGCTTGGCTTGTTTCGACTCAGCTTTTCTTAAATTATCCAATGTACCTTTTCCCTCTGGGCTTTTATCTTTTCCTATTCTGTATTCCTTTCCTTATTTCTTACTCTACAGCTTGCTGTGTAACTGGTTGATGACCCCTGTTGTCCTCTCCTTTTCTTACTTCTTCCTTTTTTCTTCCCAGATTTCTCCTCCCATTTATGCCCTTTGCTTGCCAACCCTGCCTTTCCAGCAAGAGCTCAGCACTGCTCAGCCATCTCTCCAGGCCTGTGTTGATTCTTTATGACCAACATTTATATTGCTAATGTTTTTATTTGTCCATTTGTAACTGTGTAAACATGGAGTTTCCTTTTCTAAAATGTTATTCGTGTAACAGTTTAAATTGGAGCATGTCAGATTTCGGGAAGATGGACACAGAACTGGAGTGAGTATATTTGTAGGAACTTCAGAAAAAAAAAACCCTCTTGAGTTCTTTCTATCTGTTTTGTTTGCTTCACTGAGTTTTGCAATGGAGACAGGGTCTTGATGTGTACTTTCACCTGTCCTGGACCTGATCGCATAGACTTGACTGGCATTCAACTCAGAGACAAATATACCCACTTGTGCTTTCTGAGTGTTATGCTTAATGGTACAACACACCCAGTTTGTCCATCTTATTTCTCATTTTTTGTAGTTAGTAATTCTTCATACAATTTTTCTTATGTGTACTCTGTACTGTTGATCTGGTTACTTTTCTCTCTGTTAATAGACATATCTCTTGTAAGGTGATGTCTCATTCTGTAAGGCTACAGAAACAACAGTGTTGACCCTCCAGTTTGCTTCTAAAGTGACTTAGTGATTACACTATAATGTTTATGTCATGGAATAAGAGATGGAATGCCAGAATTATATGACTATACTCTCAAGGAAGTATACATTTACAATGTTGTCAGTATCTTGCTTTCTGTTGTACATATGTGTGGGATATTTTAGAAGGCAGTGACCTATGATGATGTGCATATCAGCTTCACTCGGGAAGAGTGGAATTTGCTGGATCCTTCCCAGAAGACTCTCTACAAAGATGTGATGCTGGAGACCTACAGGAACCTCGCCACTGTAGGTAAAAATGAATTTCCTTTTTATTTTCAAATAAGGGGACAACTGTTCCTTGGTTTTTGATAATCTTCTGTTGTTTGAGAAAGAAGAGAATGAGGCGAATAAATAGTTCTAAGGTTCACAGAAGATAGTAACTTAAATTTTGCACAATTTTCAATAATGTAACGTACATTTTCTGGTACTATATTTTAGGATACATTTGGGAAGACCATAATTTTGAAGAACATTGTCAAATTTCTAGAAGACATGAAAGGTAATTTTCCTGTGCAAGCTAATTAACAATGTGCCTCTGATGAAACTGTAATGTATCCTGGAAGCTTTACACAAAAGCAACAGTGTAAATAAGCATAGCTTTAAGTGCATTGGTGATTATTAAATTCTCACTATTCCATATATCTCAATTGCAGGTAGTTGAATTGCATTCGCAAGTCGTTCTTCTAAAATACAAGCCAAGAAAACAATGCCTAAGTAGATATGACCATTTGAATCATAGCACCATGAGAGCTCTTCTGTAGATCTGCCAATCCATTTATTTCTTGCTACTCATAATACAAGAGTTATACACATTGAAGAGATGATAAGTATATATGCAAAGCTTTCTACTAATCCAATAGTCCATAGTACATCTTGTACTACTCATGTACTTGCTGTGAGGCAGTTAGAGTCAAGAGTCAAGGGACAGTTGTTGTAGAGAGACTTTAATAGCTATACTAAAAGTCTTTGAGGAACAGAAAGTCAAGTGTAAAAATCTTTTATTTGTGGTTCTTCCTTTACTGTGAATGCCATACGTTACTCTTGATACAAGCGCTGAGCATATGGGAATGGAAAGATGTAGCATACCTCTCTTTAAGAACAATTATATGATAAGCAGTAATCCCCATGTTGAGTATACTTGTTGAATTTGTTTCTCCTATACAAGTAATTGGATTTCCACCATCATTGTTAAAACATGTGAAAAAATACTTGTAAAAAAGTCCTATGAGTTCTAGGTCTGTGCAGATACTTCTGGGTGTGCTAGTTCACCTAACAAATGTAATATGATCCACAGTATAGGAAAATTTATGAATGCAAGAAAGGTGGTAAAGTTCTGTGTTTATCTAGTTCTCTTTAAATATGTGAAAATACCATTTAGAAAAATGTTTCTGTAAAGGAGACCCATGAAATGAAGGAATTTACCATCATAGGTATCTTCAAAGATGCAAAACGACCCTTAATTAAAGAGCAAAGCATGAGTTTTGACAGTTAGAAAACCTTAATATCTTATTCCTCTTTACAATAGGAACAAATTTTAAGATTAATTCATACAGTTATGTAGGTTAAACAGTGTATTGAATGGGGTAAAGTTTTTACATGTGCCAACTATCCTTACAGGCATGAAAGAAATCAAACTGGAGAGAAACTTTCAGTATATACTCAATATGTTAAAGCCTTTGTGTATGACAGTTACCTTCAAAGGAGTGAAAGAACACATACTGAAGAGCAACCCTATGAAATTAATCAGTGTGGTAAAGCTTTTGCTTATCTCAGTCATCTTCAGATGCATAAAAGAACATATGTTAGACTGAAATCTTATGAATGTAATCAGTGTGGTAAGACCTTTGCACGTCATAGTCATCTTCAAATGCATGAAAGAACACATACTGGAGAGAAACCCTACGAATGCAATCAATGTGATAAAGCCTTCGCTCTTTATGAAAATCTTCAAAGACATAAAAGAACGCATACTGGAGAGAAACCCTATGAATGTAAACAGTGTGGTAAGGCCTTTGCTCATCACAGTAATCTTCAAATGCATAAAAGAACACACACTGGAGAGAAATCCTATGAATGTAATCAGTGTGGTAAAGCCTTGGCTCATCACAGTACTCTTCAAATACATAAAAGAATTCATACTGGAGAGAAACCCTATGCATGCAATCAGTGCAGTAAAACCTTTGCTTGTCAAAGTACTCTTCAAAAGCATAAAAGAACACATACTGGAGAGAAACCCTATGGATGTAATCAGTGTGGTAAGGCCTTTGTATGTCACAATCATCTTCAAATGCATGAAAGAACACATACTGGAGAGAAACCTTATGAATGTAATGACTGTGGGAAACCTTTTGCATGTCAAAGTGGTCTTCAAAAGCATAAAAGAACACATACTGGTGAGAAACCCTATGAATGTAATCATTGTGGTAAGGCCTTTGCTCATCACAATACACTTCAGATGCATAAAAGAACACATAGTGGAGAGAAACCCTATGAATGTAATCAGTGTGGTAAAACCTTTGCATATCAAAGTAGTCTTCAGAAGCATAAAAGAACACATACTGGAGAGAAACCCTATGAATGTAATCAGTGTGGTAAAGCTTTTGCACATTATAGTACTCTTCAAATGCATAAAAGAACACATACTGGAGAGAAACCCTATGAATGTGTTCAGTGTGGTAAGGCCTTTGCTCGTCACAGTCATCTTCAAATGCATGAAAGAACACATACTGGAGAGAAACCCTATGAATGTGTTCAGTGTGGTAAATTGTTTTCACAACTCAGTAATCTTCAAATGCATAAAAGAACACATACTGGAGAGAAGCCCTATAAATGTAATCAGTGTGGTAAAGCATTTGCTCATCACAATACTCTTCAAACACATAAAAAAACACATACAGGAGAGAAACTGCATGCATGTAATCTGTGAGGTAAAGCATTTGCATGTCTCTGTCATCTTCAAATGCATAAAAGAACACATACTGGAGAGAAACCCAATAAGTGGAATCAATGTGGTAAAGCCTTTATGTGTCATAATAATCTCCAAATACATTAAATAAACCATTCTAGAGAGAAACTCTATGAATTTAGTCACTGTAGTCTTCAAAAACATGAAAAAGTCATACTGGAATGAAACTCTATAAATGATTTCAGTATGGTAATGTTTTTCACTATATAGGAGTAAAACTTTATGTGTGCAATCCATCTGATAAAGCTTTAGTATGTTACAGTAGTCTTTGCATACCTGAAAAAGATACTGAGGATTTTTGTTATAAATTATTTTTTTAAGATTTTTAGCAAACATGCAGTCAGTTAGCCAACACCATTTATTCTGTAGAAAAAAAGAATTGACAGTGTCAACAATCTATTCAAGCTTTATGATATTCATTTTTATTTTGTTTGTACCAGCAATCTAATGGACAAAACTGAATTCATGAATTTATGAAGCCTTATGGGTAGAATAGAGGGCCAGTCAAAGAAACACACCCCGGTCCTGAAACCAGAGCCAAAGGAATACACTTTGTCCCTAAATCTATGACCAGGGAAAGAAACATTATCACTGTGAAAACAGAGCCAAAAATTTTAAAAGGGCAGGGGAAAGAAACACACTTTGACTAGAGCTAAATAAACATACTTTACCCTTGACCAAATGTGCATCAAAAATTAACCAATCCCTGAGTGTAAAATCTAGCCCATCTCTCAGCTTGTTCCAGCTCAGGATTGAAATCTGAGCAATTCCCACCCTCAAAATCTCCTTAGAAAACCTCTGGCTCTAAGAAGCTCTATATAAACTGTGTGCTCTTTCAGTTAGCTGCTGCCCCTTTCAACCCTGGCAGAGACAGCCACTCTCCTGGATTCCTCCTTCCCAAATAAATCTCATGACTGAGTTTTGTGTGAAGACCTTCTTTCACTGGAATGAATCAGAAACTCCCTTGCTCTGTGTGAAAACTCACTTAGCATAAGAACAGAGAAGCAATGAACATCTCTTATGGGATACTCCTTTAGTGGAGTGGAGCAGACCAGCAACAGAAATCTCTGCTGGACTGCTCTTAGAATTATGGAGCAGAGCCCAGCTGTAGTGGCTTTCTCTCTCAGAGAGGAACAAGATTGCTAGATGTAGGGGGGAGACCTTCCCCCACTGCAACACAAATCCAGGTATATTCTGAATTCCTGGCAGTCAGGATTCCTTTCTCCTTACAGTTATAGGTCTCCTGGATAGCTTCCCTTCACAACTGCAGGTATTGCCTGACTCCGGACAGTCAGGGTACCTTTCCTTCCAGAACTGTAACACTTGCACTATGAATTTAAATGTTAATGTAACCCTTTTAGATTTTACACTTCTCCATAGTTGCATGGAATAACTAATTCAGACGTAAAACTTGATGGATATGTACTCACTCCTTTTCTTTTGTGGTGTAATATCTATGTCAACTTATAAAATCATTTAATTTGGCCCTGGGTTCCAGAAGCATACAGGATCACCATGAAAGTGCTATGGCATCAAGTGTCAGACTTAGCAGCTAAAGCAGGAATTTAGAAACTTACATCATAAACTGCCGCATGATGCAGAGAGTGGGAACTGGAGCTGGTGTATGGATGTAAATTCTCATAGCCTACCCTCAGTGACATATTTCCTCCAGCAAGGCAGCATTTCCTAAATCTTCCCAAATGATTCCACCAACTTAGAAAGGTTAATTTCTCCTATTTCAAGCCTAGTTATTTTCTTTCAGTTTATATGATCAAATTCATGATGAAAAACTATAAGCCATAAAATGTCTCATCTCCTCTTTTACACTCATGAATGCTTAAGGAGAAAAATCTTCATGAGTGAAAAATTGTTTATAGCGTTTTAATTGTAATTGTGTGATGTGTGTGTTTGTGTGGGTATGTAAATGTGCATTCTGTATCCTGACATAGTTAATCCCTTTGATCTTTTTGTAGCAGGAATTATAGGAAGTTGTCAACAATCTGTTCTTGGTCCTGGGAATGAGAATTCTTTTAGTCACCCAGCCATGTCTCTGTGTGCTGTAAATATTTTAAAGTCTATATCATTTTGAAGTCTGGCTATAGATGGCTATAGAAACCAACTCATAAAGAAAAACCCTATTTATGAAAACAGTGTGCTAATGGCTTTAGACATCACAGTTTTCTTCAGCTTCAAGAAAATTTATTTTTCATCATTGCCTTGAAGGAAGTAAATTACATTCCATTTTCACTCAAGATTGATGTTGGAAATCATTGCATTTTGATTTCTATTTTGAAACATTTGAGGTAGGTACTAAATTGTGCTATATGTATGGCAAATCAATTTAGTGAAGTTTAGTTTGTAGCATTCCTTCTATGGCTTTTGTTCATCTTCTATTGTGCCTTTACCTAAAGATAGGTATTTTTCTGCTGTAACCTGTAAGAATGGTGTCCCCATCATCCTAGTGTCCCATTGGTTATTGAAATATCAGACCATGTGTGATTATACTTTTCAAAGAAGTGTGTCTGAAAGGATGGTCCATTGTTGTTCCTGGTTTTGTCTTTCATATTTTCACAAATTCCCTTGAGTTTTATTGTTTGATATTCATCCTGGCTTGGATATCAGCAATGATTCAGGGATCCATTTGAACTCATGGTGCTCATGTGTTTGCTACCTGAGTAAAAATCCAAGGGTAGATGATGAACTCCCATTGTGTGGTATTTTGTCAATACAATTTAACAATGTTAATGTTAAAATATTTCATAGAAGAGCTTATAAGAAACATTAAATACCTCATGTGTGTATTCACAAAAGTATTTTCATTTATCTGGTATAGACTAAATAAAATAGTATAATCCGCAACCAACTGTTTATCTGATACCATAGCTTGATGTTCTATAGGAATTGAGGTTGGGTTTCTAGCCTTGCACACAACAGTTCTTTCCAAATGAGCCGTTTTACTGGTGCTCAAATTCAATTAGAAGAAATATTACAACAGTAAACTCTTGTCTTTTCAGATTGTAAACATAATTTTATACAAGGATAGAGGAATTCAGGACAGTTTGAATAATAAATCCTCTGTTAAATGGTTGAAAATATTAAACCATCGCAACATTTTTAACTTGTTGTTTCTGAGGGCTAAACATTTATTTATTTATAACACTTTCTCAGAACTAAAATTATATGCCAGAGAATTGCTTATTTAGTAAAGTTTATTGCTGTTAAGTCTGATAACCTGAGTTCTATCTCTGGGCTAACCATACTACTACTACATATTTTTTCATATTTGTTCACATGAGCAGTTACATGTGCACATTCCTACATCAGCACATACACAAATCATTTTTAAATCCAAAGAAGTGCCATTGAGGTCACTTGCAACTAAATTTTTCCCTAGGTATCATCACTAGAAGTCACACAGTGGAAGTAGATCATAGACCCCTGTTAGTTTTCCTGTCAGTGCTACATACACACTGACAGCAGTGTATACACACAGACTCACTTCAAATATTTTTAAATGGATGGAATTAATAAAACAAGAAATGTAACCCAATTATTGAGAATGCATGAAATAATTTGCCCATTTAAATTATAGAATTTCAAGAAATATTAGTATTCGTCAAAGCAATGTTGGTCTTTTTAAATCTTATTTTATTCCCTCTTTCTCTGATTCAATGATAAGTCCTTTAAAAACACATATTTCAGCTGGGCTTAGAGGTTCATTGCTATAATTACAGCACATGGGAGTGTGGGTGGGGCTGATCTCAGTGAGTTTCAGGCCATCTAGTTCCTCATAATGAATTCCTGGTATATGGCTATATGGACATATATTGTCTAATAAAAACAAAAATAAAAGACTTATCTCAAATTACAGAACTTTTTAAAATAAAATTTGTCTGGATTCAGACAAATTTCAATCAATCCTTTTTATCTTTACTCACATAAAGAGAGCTGTCTTAACAATGAAAATAAGCAATATAGAAATTCCGTTCACATTCATTTCATTGAATCCTTTGACAACCATCTAGATGGGACTTCCATCACCTTCAAGTGATAAGAGAGAGAAGGAACAGTGGAACATCTTCACTTTCAGCATTGTAATGACATATGTGAGACCTGAAGAGCTGTCTCAGCAGTACTGCTCCTCTTGGGTACCCAAGAGTTTTCCTAGCACCACAGCAGATTGGTCAGAACTCCCTGTATTTCCAGGTTCTGAAGATCTGGTGCATTCTCCTGGCCTCTTAGCGCACCAGATATGCAAATGATGAAAAGACAGATATGTATGTGACTCTACATTGTAAAATAGATTTTCTTCATGTGCCTGTTGTCTTAAAAAAAAAAAAAGAATGAAATTTAGTTTAGATGTAGGTGTTTGGCCAGTAAGTATAGCAAGTACATGCCAGATACCAATGGTGACCAAAAGACGGTGTCTGATTCCCTGTGAATGGAGGTATAGACAGTTGTGAAATGTCTTGTGGGTGCTGGGTATCAAAGTGAGGCCCTGCGGATGAGTCACCAATGTTCTAAGTACCGAGCCTTCTATTCAGTTTCATGAACATATCATTGATAACACCGAGGTGTGAATGGCTAAGTTCTTCTTTACCTCAGCCTTGATTACCCAGAGGAAATAAAAGAGTGATAGACTTGGTGCTTAAAAACTTCCTGAGCCCAAATCTCCACAAAATGAGGGAAAATTAAAAAAAAAAAAAGTTCAGGAAACAAACTGACAGTAAAAGTCATTAAAAGATGGTTGGCTATTTAACCAAAGCAATTGGCTGCAATTGGAGTCCCCGGGTTCACAGATCAGGTGTAGCCCTGCTTGAGTTCCTTCCTCTTGTAAGGAGAGAATAGTAACTTGCAGGCATGAAGCCTGCCTTGTAGGAATGGTATCATATTCTGCTTCCCAGGTGCCTGAAAAACATTCAGTTAGGAGCTCTAAGCAGTGATGACTCAAGATGACATCCAGCTTGTGAGGACTTCCAGAGACATAAAACTGAAGTCACTATAAGGCTAAGGTGATCAGGCATCGACAAAGAGCTGTGGAATTTGAGTGAACTGATAGGAATGGAGGTTTGTCAAAGCCCGAGGATCAAATGCCAGAGAGCAGTGTTTAGGGTGCACCTGAGGATAAGCTGGCATGAACTGTTCTCTTCCTCCACTCAGCTCTGCTGGGTCTTCCCCTCTGGTTCTTCTGCTCTTTACTTTTTTGGCACCTTATGTAGCTGTCGGTGACAGTGCCCTGCAGCCCCAACTTTGAAGGCCCCACTGGGAATTAAAAACTCCCCAGTCTCCAACTTGTCAATCCCTGGTACCAGCCTGCCTGGCAGGAAGAAGGATATTCTAGGAGACATTTTTATAATCTCCCTTTGGCCAACAAATAGTGAAACAGTAGGCACCATGAAGTTCTAATTTCCCTGGGAGTTTCACTGCGGGGAAGGACTGACTTCTCCAGATGAGAATGTCTCTACTGAAATTTACTCCCATTTACTCCTTATCTGACCACCTCACAGGAGCGGAGCTTGGAGGAGGGTTTTAGAGATGGGAAGACTTTCATTATATGTGTTAGTTATATTACTTACTTGTGCATATCTTGCCTTTTAGATTCTCAATGATGCATTAATTACCTTATATTTTTGTCAGTGTTCCAAATTAGACAAGCTTAAAAAGGGTCATGTTTACAATATTTTATTAATAATTTGTTCTTTTTTCATTTCTATTGTTTCCTTTTGTTTTAAAATAATAGTATCACCATGAATCTGTGGCTGTCCTGGAGCGCATTATATAGACTAGTTATTTTCTAGAAGATTTGAGACATTTGCCCACCTTGTCCCCAATGTACCTGAATTATAGGTGGGCACATTACTGATGACTAACTTGGGATTTTTTTAGTTTTTCATGACAGGCTTCTTTTTTTAGTCTTGGCTGTCTTGGAACTAGCTCTATAGACCAGGCTGGCCTTGAATTTACAGAAATCCACCTGTCTCTGATTCCAAAGTGTTAGGATTAAAGGCGTGCACCACCACCACCTAGTGTAAGTTTGTTGTTTTTGTTGACTTAATAATGGCTAGTTGCTAGGCCTGTCTGGTTATGGTGGCCAGAATACAGGCTCTTGTCCTAACTTGAGTAACAGAAGAAGGCTCCGATCAAATATAACCTTTCTACCCTAAAGTTCACTGACATCTACCTATGAGCAATATTGATTTTCTTTCTATTCGAGTGTATTTTAATTCATCAAGGGATTAGGACAGTGAACTGTCATTCTACAGATGGTGAAACTCATGCACACAGAGATATTAGGTTTTGAATATATTTAAGTATAACTGATCATCTTAGTCATCCCAACATTCTAATAGCTCACTACCTGAAGCTAACTAAGCCAGGCTAGCAGCATAGGCCTGTAACCATGATACTTAGAAAGTGGAGGGAGGAATTTTACAATTTCCATGCCATCCGAGGTGAGAGTGATCAATGGGGTATGTATGGTGGGAGGCCCATGAAACCTAGGCAGACTGATTGGCTCAGGACAGTGTCCATAGTCTTCCCTGTAGGTGTAGAACTTCAAGGCTGTGTGGTGTACCAGCAAATGCTAGCTTAAGTATTTACCACTCCAAGTTTCCTATTTTAATGTTTTCTGTGGAAGGCAGCCTAGGTCCATTAAAGGTCAGACTCATGTTGCTCAATAAAGAGTAAAATTCTACTGCAAGTGGGTGAATTAGCCTCAGGCATGGATGCCCTCCCTAATTGTATATCCAAAACAGCATGTTCAGTCACCAACAGAAATGGACCCAGCAGGTTTAATTCACTTATTTTTCACATACTTATTCATACATACTTAACAAGGAAGGAATTGGAAGAGAAGAATTTGGAAAGGAATGGGGAGAAGACAAGGAAGGGGAAAAGTGATGTAATTAAAATATATTTTAATTAAAATATATAAAAATATATTTTAATAAAAATATGGCTTGAGAGATAGCTTAGCAGTTAAGAGCAATGGGTGTTTCTGAAGAGGACAGAGGTTATGTTGGTAGAACTCCTGTAACTCAGGTTCAAGGGATCTGATTCTCTCTTGAGGCCTCTGCAGGTCCTCCACAAAGACACATGTGGGCAAACATCCATACACATAAGATGAAGCTTAAAGAATGAAATCCTGTGAAGTACTTTCACAGCCTTGGGACTGACAGTTGTCAGGGCTAGTTAAGATGAACTCTTTATTATCCTTTATAGAAGTATCTCTGGCCTTCCTCTGAATCAGCATGTTCAATGGCAAACAAACCTTATTCTGAGGCTAGAAGAACTCAGAATAGTTGTTCATTTAAGACCATCTTTTACAACGTGGATAGGACTTTCCCATTTTTTGCATTTGCATTCTATTTCCTTTGTATGTTGATATACCTTTAATTGTATCCTGTAGATCATACATTAGGATCTATTTATTTTTAAACTATACAGTATGATATATTTTAGATCCTAATGCATATTCAGAAAGAGAGTTTTTTTTCTCTGTAAATTGCCATCTGCCCAAGTGGCTAGACACACCTTCTCCTGTCCCTTTTTACATTGTTCACAGTATAACCTTGACCCTGAATCCAAAAGAGACTTAAGGATGACAGCATATGTGTATTGCAAAATATGATCCAGGCTGGCTCCTCTTTTAGTGTTAACCACTACCGAATGCCTGCTGTTGTCACAGAGATGTTTGTTGATTAAACTTTTATGTTTGCAGAATGATTTGTGCCTGCAAAGGCATTAAATTCTAGAACAGCAATTTCTGAGTCAAAAGTTCTTATGTTGGATCATGTAGCCTTGATCCCACTCCACTGTGAGATCATTTCCCCAGAGAAATGACGCTAGTCTCCTGGCTATTAAGCCAACGAAATAATTAGATTAAAGAACTCAATCACCACTGAGTTGTAAAATTACAAATTTAAGTCATTTAATCAATTGTCCATTTCAGTAATAGGAAAAGGATTTGTGTGTGGAGCATAGTGTCTACCTTCAGACCATATTAGGTGGAATAGCTTACTGTGTATACTATAGGGGAAACAGTGAGGGCAAACATCTGAGAAGTCACCATTATGAAATCAGATAGGATATGTGATTTTGTA